CTATCCACGTGTCGTCTTGTCATCTCACACTTTTTTGTTTACATTTTTTTTTAGGGAAAGTTTTACTACAACTTTTTTGTTCAGTCCCATTTTTCTACACTGAGGAAAGAAAATGACCCCAAACTCTTCAAGGATGGACTTAATGGGTGGTTGGAAAAGAGGAAAGTGGAAGTGAAAGGAAAATGACTACTTGTAACTCCAATCTCAAATGATGTGCTTCAATGGTGGATGGAAAAGAGAAAAGTGGAAGGGAAAGAAAATGACCACTTGTAACTCAAAAGTTGCAATTTTTTATAAATTAATTTTGAATTAAATAATCATAAAAGTATGTGATATGGTGGTATTTCATCTTTTAAACATAGAAGATTTGAGCATCTTCAAGAGCATTTATGAAATTTTTTTTTTTTTTTTTGGATTAGATAAAAAAATTGCTATATAAAAATGTGCAAAAAAAATACTCTATATGTGCAAATTGTCCTTTCACGGTCAATTTTAATCAAACTTATTTATTAAAACTCCAAAATACCCTTAATAATTAGTGTTTTTCTAAAAAATAGTTTTTCTTTTTTCGAAGTTTTGTCTTAAGAGCATTTTAGATATTTTAGTTTTCAAATTGACAAAATGCCCTTATTTCTCGATTTGAAAAATGTGAGGAGTTTTTTTTTGTGACACCAGAATAGTATTTACACATTCTGTATATATTTTTGAAATGTACCCACAAAAAGAATTATTGATTCAATCCAACCTCATTCTTAAATATTGAATAGTGTATAATTCTTCTTATTTTTTTGTTGCTCGAATTAGGTTATGATTGTCTCTTACTTTTGCATGAAGGGTTATTTCTTTCTTTTGCCCTGTCATCAAGAAGGGGAAAACAAAAAATTGATTAGCTAGGTAGTAGATTATTAAAAGAATTAGTCCAACCAATTTCACTCTCACTTCAATAACCCTAATCGAAATTGATGAATTTCATCGAGTCTAATTTAAACTATTAGAGTTCTACTCATGCTTAATTAGGGAGTAAAAAAAAAAAAAAAAAAAAAAAAAAAAAAAAAAAAAAAAAAAAACGTTGCAAATAGATTCATCACATGTTGCACATTGATATGTAACGTGCCCAAATTTCACCCTATGTACTTTTCAAAATTGTGAAAAAGAATCGGTGGAGGTACACATTTTTACCACTAAGTACTGACATCAGCAATCCATGTCCATATCATCAATCAATGGACTTTTGGGGCCCTGGATTCCACCAATGGTGAAACATGTTCTCAAATCATCCATAGCTTTCCTCCTCATTATTATTATTATTATTATTATTTATTTATTTTTTTGAAGAGAATAAAGTCACCATAGTAAATAAAACAAAATATCAATTCATTTGTCTTTTATCTTAAAATAAATGTTGTAAATCAAATAAATGAGTGTAACATGATGGGTCTTCTTGATTTTTTTTTTTTTTTTATATCAATTTTTAAACGATTAAGAAAAGTAATTGAAAGATTGATAAAATGGCATATTGTTGGCTTTTCAAAAATCTAAAAATTTCACCTTTGGCTATGAAATATGAATGTTCCCGACTATTTCTGGTAATCATTATTTCGATTCCGAAGGCTAATGTTATAGGACCGAAATCTATGATGTTATCGCATGCTAATGTATATAATCGTTAGCTTAATTTGAGCACTCTAATTTCTTTAAAGTAATAGTGTCGGAGACACGACCCGACTAATTAAGGTCAGAAGCACATCGCTGGTAGAAGAGACGAGATGACGGATGCATATTATCAAATAGAGCCTAACAACTGAGAATCTAGAAGCTGTCCCTATTATAGTACTTGTGGCATTAATTTTTTTTTCTTTTTTGGTAAAAACTTGTGACATTAAAGTAAAAAAAACACTTACCACAAGAAGCACTTGAAGAATCAAACATTCACGTGAAACCTATTGGAGTAGACACGCGTTTCATATATATATATATATATATACTTTGTGTAAAAACTTGTGATATTTGTTGTATATATCTGATCTGATTATTCTTCTTTCTTGATTTTAAACTGAGAATCATGTAGGAGTGTAGGCGTGTAGGGTTTGTAGGACAAAAATATTTACCTTATCACGGATCAATATTAGCATTAAGAAAAATAGAAATTAAATTAAACATGCACGCGTGATAAAGGGATAAAAAGATCTTTTACTTTGTGTCATGACTCTCGTAAAGCACAAAAATATTACTTTCTACCAAAATACTTATCCATTTTTTTATTTTGGAACAATTCAAAATGCATGTTTCATATATTATATTTTATAAAATTTCTAAATTACTCTTTTGTCTTTTAGTAATAATAAATTTAAAAAGAATTTTGAAATGAAGAGGGTAAAATTTAAGTAGTATATGTGGTTGAGGACTTATGTCATCATATCAATGAGTGGAGGGTTTTATTTTCTAAATCTCGACACTCCATACACTCATCTTTTATTCAAATAGACTTGGAACCCTTAACCTTTTATTCTAAAAGGTTGAGGTAATACACTAGTTTATTGTTCCTCAAGTTTAAGGTCCCGTTTGATATGTATTTTATTTTTGTTATTTTTATTTTTGGACTGTTATAGTATCGATTTTGGCAATAAAAACATGTTTGGTGCAACCTTATTTTATTTTACACAGTACTAAAACACTTTGTAAATAGTGACCCAAAACCAAAAAGTTGGAACACGCTTGGTTTGTAATTCTGAATATAATTCTTAAAAATTCAGAGAACAGAAAACAATTTTTAGGTAACAATAAAATAATGTTCTCTTAAAACAAGTCTTTTTATAATTGAGTTTTCATAAAACAATTTTCAGAAAATTAAACCAAGCAGATTTTTTTTGTATAATTTTCTATTTTAAGTTTTTTGAAAACAGAAAACTATTTTCAAGAGTTACAAACCAAACAGGCCCTTGTTTTTTCTTATTTTGACAATTGTTCATGACCCAAAACCATAACAGCAGACAATTGTTCATGGCACAAAACCTACATTTTCACAACAAAACATCATTCCCAAACTTGCTTCCAATTTTTTTCCAAAAAACTCCTACAGTACAAATACTGTTCTGTTTTAACCAAAAATAAAACGCTTAAAATAAAGCGTATGTCAAACGAGCGTAAGAGCTTAATAGAGCTAACAAAATAAAATAAAAAAATTTCACTTTATTGCCATTTTTAGAGTTACAAATAAATCAAATTGTTCATGAACCATTGTGACTCGAGCTAATCATTTAGTAAACGAACTGAGTTTAAGTTTAATTTTAAGCTTGTTTAACAAATTAGCTGATTTCAAATAGAATTGCGCTCACTTTATACATATAAGTTCATGAACATAAGCTCGTGTAGAAATTTCATTAGAGAGCCATCATAGCAAATACTTAGAACTACTCCCAGAAATAGGGAGACCAAAATGAAGTGTCTTTTTGGTTTATAACCTATGGAAATAGTTATTTGTTTTCAGAAAACTAAAAATAAAAAATTATATAAAAAATTATGTTTGGTTCAATTTTTTTAAAATTAAAAATATCTATTTTCAAATAATTATTAGAAAAAAAATTTTAAAAATAATTTTCTATTTTCTGAGTTTTTGAGAACTATTTTCAGAATTACAAACTAAGCATATCCTAAAATTTTCAAATATTTGAAGCTCAAATGAAAACTACAATCAAGTCTTAGCAGGTTGCAAATTTTTGTAGAGCGAAGTATTAAATTTTAGCCTATGTTCGATTATATGTAATTGAAGTTTTGAGATTAAAATTTATAAAATTAAAAAAATAAAAGAAATAAATAAATAAATAAATTGTATAACTTTAAACTAAATTTTTCTCCAATTTTAATTTTAAAGCTCCAATTTTATACAGCGGCATTAAGAATTTTGTTCATTCTAAATATTAAGTGTGTGAATCTGGACCGGTAGAATTGATGCCTGTTTGATCAGAGAGAATCCTTTTCCGACATGTTATTAAATCAATGGGTTTATCATTTTTCTTGTAATAATAATAAAATAAACAAAGTTTTCTTCATCATCTCGAAGAATCTCTTAATCAAAACGATAATCAATGCATTAACGAAAATGAGATTTGTGAGGATAAAATAGCACTCCCCCATTAAGAAAACGGCGTGGGACCCACATATTGCAAATCCAACACTTGACTCCACTCAATCCAACGGTCCAGGATCGTCCCATGACTGCAAATGGGCTCGACCCACAAAAGTCATGTAATGACGACCCACAAAGAAACAAGCCCCATTAAAGAAGAGACCGCGTCATCAAGACAATCTGACGGTCAGGAATCAATCAATCACAGTCCAAGTCGTGACGTCAAAACACGTTATATCCGAGGGCGGCTGACCAAATTCATTTCATCCCACACTGAAAATGAGGACACTTTGCTTTTCGTCTACCAATCATCACCCGAAACGTGTCGAGCTGAAAGCATCACAGTTTCTAACCTTTTCAACTTGCCGGCCGCCGTGGGACCCACCGATCGGACGTTACGAGTACTAATCGAAAATTTCTAAATATAGTATGAAAATGGCCTTGGATTTAGACTACTAAACATGTTTAGGGTTGTCAATTTGACGGGTTTAAGACACCATTTTTTATATAACAAAAAAAATAAAAATAAAAATAAAAAATTTAAATGTTCATCGGTTTGTTATGTTTTTTTATACTACAAACAAATTTGACACACAATGCAAACATGTCGCCCTTTCTTTAGACTCGTTTGTGACACTCAATGTTGTAGTGATCTTCACCATTCAAAACTTTTGAAAAGAATATACCTTTCAATCTTTTTATTAAGAACATGGTGAAATGTGTTCTCCTTTCTTGAAATGTGTAACATTTTTCATTCAATTCTCTATTGCACCTTGAACATTCGAACCGTACGTGCACAACACAAGTCGGATGAGAACGCACAGGTGACACCCAATACCTTCTCCACTGAAAACCTCAAACATTGAACTCAGAATTAAGCACAAAACCAGACATCATATTTGCAACCATGTTACAAGCCATAAGAGTCTTATTTCATTCCATATATATAGACATAACTCCTATTTCCATGGAGTACATTGTCATTTTATGCCTCTAGACCCTACCACAAAAGGGTATTTACATTTTTCACTCAAACTAGTTTAACAATGAGGACAAAACCTATGTATAACCACTCTCTTCTAAACACCTATATCTTTCAGCTAAAGCTTATTTTTGCTACATTCACCATTCTGTCCTTTCACATTGTCTTATTATCATTCTTACCCTTCTATTTTCCATAATTTCTCCTATTTGCTGCCTCTATGTACACAATACCAAAGATATATATATATATATTTATATAGAGAGAGATAGAAACTCTCTAGGTTTTCCAACACTGGCCTTTTGGTAAAAAGCTCAAGTGCTTGCAGGCCCCTAGGGGCATATAATGACACTAACTTGTATATTGGGGGGTATAAGGGTCATTAAGCATAAGTAGTGGGGGCTACTAGTATTCTATGACCAGTCCACTACTCATTGGGGCTCTGTGGGGAATACCCTTTCTTCTCTTGGCCTGTCTGTAATTAGCCACAGTTGGTGGTGGCGTTGACGGAGTGAAGCTCTGGACTTTGCTGGTGTCGCTGCTGCTTGTCCTCCCCCGGCGGCCATGGCTTCCGCCGCTGCTGCTGTATGAGTCCTCGGAATCCGACGCCATCCCCGCCATCCGCGGCTGCTTCTTCTCCAGTGACTGCTTCCTCTTCCTCTGGAAATTCTTTGATGTACCCACAATCTGCAATTGATGATCAAACGTTATTCACAAACCCCAAATCACAATCAAAACAGAAAAGCCAATTCAATTTTATCAAAATCTGAAATGGGTGATTCACTAGGATGAATAAAACTCATTTACCCAATTCAATTTTATCAGAATCTGAAACGGGTAAAGTCACTAGGATGATTACTAATCAAATCACAACCAACCCAACAACTCCAACTATAATTACTCCATTGATAACATTGACAATAGTACCAATTTCACACACAGAGAACAATGTAATGGGGAGTTAACCCATCAACCAAAGTCAAATAAAATTGGGGATTTCATGAGATACCCAATTCGAATTCTTCAAATTTACATAAATTTAAGAACAAGAAAATTCAAAAATTAAGTAAAAAGTACAGAATTTTGAGGACATTGTAGTACCTTGCAACCCAGAGAGCAGAATCGGAAGGAATCGAGAAGGCTTCGCTCGCAGACTTCGCAGGTGTTGGTGACCCCTTTGCCAGGCCTAGGCTGTGGCCTCTCATTCAAGAACACAACCTTTGCGCTGTTGATAATGTAGGTCTGGACTGCACTGATGTCCAAAAACTTCTGAATCTCAGAAACCCTGATCACATCATGGTATGATGACCTCCTTATCTGTCAAGAAACATACCAATTTCAATCAAAAACCAACAAAAATACACATGGATATACACACACTAACACACAGTATATCAAGAATCAAAGTTAGAGCACAATCCTGAAAAGGCAAATGGTATTTTATAAAAGTTTTGATGCTTTTACCAATCTACACTAAAAAACAGAGAAACCCAAGAAGAAAAAGAAGAGAGTTTTTTTTAGAAGAAAGTTAGAACAGAGAATTTTTGTGATTCCATTAAAAGCTGTCATCTGACAAAAATGTTCAAACCCAGATGCTAGAATTGGATGAAAACATAGTGAATTGAAAAATTAGTAGAAGATAACTCATCAGAAAGATGCCATTTGCCAAGAATGGTTGAAACCCAGATGCCACAAGTGGATGAAAACAGATGAAATTGAGACTTTGGTGCAGATTAGCAAACCTGTATGGCACGGTGTTCCTTGTGATAGTTGAGACAGAGAGAGCAGAGAGCACCATTCATACAGTCCAAGCAATACATGTTGCATTCACTCTTGTGTGAATCAGCATGTGATTTGCATTGGACGAAGAACCTCTCGCGAAGCAGAGGCTTCAGCCATGGCGGCCAACGGTTGTCTTCCTCATCAGGACCTCCAGCTCCCTGAAACAAACGAAACCCAGATCAGCAAAAACAGAGTAGTTTTGAGGGTTTTGAGGCAAACCCAAAAAAACCCAGAACAGAAAACACGAGAATGTGAGAGAAAATGAGGGAAAATGAGACAAAGTTCAAGAAAACCCTTCTTCCTCACCATGATTCGCCTGTTCTTGGGTTTGATTTCCCGGACAGTGGTTTCCTGATTATCGATCGCCAGTTTGAACTTTGGAGAGACACAGCTTTTCTTGTGCTTTTGTGTAATTTTGTTTAGAGAGAGAAAGTGTAGAGAGAGAAGTCTTCAAGAAGTGGAGGCGGTGAGAAAGGGGGAGGGTTTCTTGTAGGAAAAGATGGGTGTGGTCTGGTGTGGGTTGTTCTTATCCGTTCAAAGTCTGAGGTCCGAACCTAACTCCGAACCCAAACCTAGAGATGCTTTGGATGCAAGGAACCCCACCCTTCTTTTCTTTTTATTTTCCCCTTTCATTTTCAGGTTTTCTTATTGTTATGTCCTTTCATATCTTCATTTTTCAATTCAATTATTTAAAGTTTTTATTGCCCATTCTAATACTACTAATTAAAACTTTTTCCATTTGATTCCATTGGCATTTCAATAGTGAGTTGGCACATTATTCCCCCATATATTCACTACCTCTTTTTCATTATTGGCTTTATGGCCTTTGATTTTTTTTCCTTTTTTATTTTTATTTCTCATATATATAATATATAAAAATATTTACTCGATGAAAAATAATTCTTGAATCAAATAGTTACAGTGAATTGCTAAATTTACTTTTTTTTAATTGATCAATTATACAACAAATATAGAAATGGAGCCCTCCATTTAATTATATTTAATATAAATAGTCAATTAAAAATTATTCGATCGACATATCAGTATTATTGCTTATTTGTGATAGATTAAGGTTTAAAACAAGAAAACACATCGTTCCAAACCACAATTTGAAATGAGGAAATATATTCGACACTTTTTAGTAGAATTGAGCAAATAATCCGTCAATCCGGTCCAAACCAATCCGATTCGTGTGATTCAATTCGGTTTTCAAATCTTATGGTTTGGTAATGATTTAGAAAAATAGCAATTCGCTATTTGCGATTCGATTAACAGATTGGACCATAAAAAAATCGATCCGATCTGTTACCTTAATTTTATATATATATATATATATATATATATATATATATACTATATTTCTATTTTTTATTTGTTATTTAAGACTTTAATTTAACCTTAGGTCACCTTAATCTTACAGGTTTTTAATTACTAATTTGAGATTTTAATAGGTGATATATATATATATATATACTATATTTCTATTTTTTATTTGTTATTTAAGACTTTAATTTAACCCTAGGTCACCTTAGTCATTACAGGTTTTTAATTACTAATTTGATATTTTAATAGGTGATAAAGTGTAATACTATTAGGCTATTTGAAAAGTCCAATCCGTAGAAACCAAATCGATCCGATCCGTTATTTCATGGATCGGTTTGATTCGAATTAAAGGTCCCCACGAATCGGTTCGATTTCAAATTTCATCAATCCGTGGGGACCGGATTAGATTGAACTTTACCCCCAAACCGAACCGATCTGATCCGATCCATGATCAGCCCTACTTCTCAGACCTGCAATGACACAAGTCTTGTATAAATTTACTCTACAAAATGAATTTTTTTTAATTAAGTATATTAGGAAAAATTAAATGCATTTAGTGACTTGGTTTCACATCTAAATGGCTCAATATGTTCCCAACATTGTCATGTCTTTTCTACAGGGGTTTCTTTGGTATGTACGAGAGTTTACATGCAAATAGTTCTTTCTTGCTCCATTTCAAACTTAAAGCATTAGAGTTTCTTTGGTAGGTATTACCATGGTGCCAAGGCTCACTCAATTGTTTTTTGACAGAGAAAAACATTTTCACTCCTACGAATGCTTTTAAGAAAAATAAATAAAGCGTAAATTTTCAGAATAATTTTTACATGCCAAGTCCACGAAAATTAAATGACTACATTCAAAATATAGTTAATCTTTCCACCTTATTCAGCAAAATAAAAAAATTAAAAAAAAAAAAAAAGTTATTAGTATTTCATAACGCATTAGAACTTTGTGAATAGGTAAGTGTTTAAGCATGCGATTGGATTTTTTAATTTTCATTTAATTAGAAAGATATTTGTTATAATGGATAATTACAATCTAAATTAGACAAAGTGCATCCTAAATTTTCATTTTTTTTCTTTTTCTTTCATGTAATACGAGGTTTAAATTATAAATTGTGTTCTACTATAACTCATAAATGATCAAATAAGGTGAGAGTTAAAATCCAAATGTTCATGCAATTTATGAATTTATTTTTATTGGAATAAAAATAGTAATAATACAGAATAGTGGTAATCAACTTCTCCTTAAGAATATTGAGACGATTAAGAAAATTAATGATAATGTCTACCAACTTAACTTACCAAGTCATATTCCTACCTCTGATGATTTTTATGCCAAACATTTGCTTCTACTCATGTAAACGCTTAGTCAACTCACACGACCTGCCATATCGAGGATACATATTGATTGGTTTCGGCTTGCCTTTGGGCTCATTAAGGAAAAACTACCATTCCCAACTTAGTTTGTGCAAAGATGGCCAACTTCCTTCTTTATAGTGAAGTCCACGACTAACAACAAGCTACTCGAACTGAACTAAGTCAACATTCATGAACTCTTAAAGGATATCATCTTGTGATTCTGCAAGTCCCTTCCTTTGAATCATTCCCAATCAAGAGTTGCTCTTCACGAATTAGCATGTGTATCTCCATCATTCCCAATCAAGAGTTGCTCTTCACGAATTAGCATGTGTATCTCCAATGCTCACAGTGCCGTGCGTAACAAATTGCCCTTATTTAGCAGCTTGTTATTACCAAAAAAAAAAAAAAAAAAAAAAAAATCTGGTACTTTTTATTTATATTATTATTAAGTTTTGGAAAATTTTGACAAAAAAATTTGTTTATGGAGTAGAAAACAATGATAGATATGGATAATGGTACAAGGGGTGTTCATTGGAAAAAGGAAATAATGTAGTGAGGGCAAATCACATGTGAATCATGTTTACCATATAGTATATTCAATAGCCATCTAAGAACACAAATGGCCACACTTTCCTATCAACAATTATTGTCACCAGTACAAAATGTGGTCAAGTTGATAGATGACTTGAAGAAGATAAACCCCAATTGGATTAAAAGTGACCAATTTTTTTTCATATTCACTCCATATTCCTAAGAAAAGACAATACAGATTATCAATTTAATGGCCTACATAGACTTATATTAGTATTAAATATGTTGTTTTATAGGCCAGTTAAAGATTTTGTGGGTATAATTTTGTGACCAAATGGTATCTTCTCTATTTTTTAAAATGGATGGTCATAATTTAAATCTCTAAAGAAATAAAGTGAGAATGTGAGTGATGTGTTAGAGTTTCTCGTAGATGACCAAAAAAATAATAATAATAATAATAGGGATTTCATGGAGAGGGTTGGTGGGTTGGGTTGTCTGAGCTGGGCCTCGGTTGGGTAGTTTGGGTTTCGAATGAATTGCCACATTCCTAATCACATGTTATCATAGTCTAATCAATTTCATGTGTCGATTACTAGGGGTAAGATGGTAATTTTAGTTTCCTTATTCTTTTAATAATTTATGAAGGTCAGTGGAGTGCTCCAAAACTCCATCCTGCTTAGGACAAAGGGACACTCAATGGACAAATTCAACTATGGGTTTTAAATGGTATAAAAAAAAAAAAAATGATAGCAACTGACTTCATAGATCATGCCACTAATCAAGATTGAAGTGCATATTATAATATTGACAAAAAGTTAATATCCAGGATATGATGACTAAAGTATCTCTTATTTTCCGATTATGGTATATTTATAATAGCATTGTCTACAATAAGGGACGTTAAGCTCGCATTTTTATCGTTAGATTAATTGTTAATTCGATTTTTCAAAAAATTGGGACAAAAATTCTCCAGAAATATGATTTTATGAATTTATAGGCACCTACTCTAAGATCTCTTGATATGTACACAGTACACACTAATATTCTGGAAATTCCATTTGGTTAGAGATACTAAGAACTAAATATTTTTAACCTTAAGTAATGTTATCATAAAGTCGACTTCTTGATATTGTTTTTGGGCTTTCTGTCTTTTTGTTATGATTACAAAAATTGAGAGGCAAATTTAACTATTTAAAAGAAGATTTTACGAATTATATAAAATTTCATTTATTGTAAATTACAGGAATTAGTGAATTTCTTAAGCACTTTTTCTTTTGATCCAATTATATTATCAACTTTGACCGTCTCGTATCATATTTATTTTATAATATTTTGAATTACTTTTTTAAAAGTGAGATTACTTTAATATTAATAACGTGATGATATAATTTATACATTATTTTAAAAAAAATTTAAAGAAGAACCCATTAAAAATTATCATTAATCACGTCTTTCTTTAAAATTTTATTTTATTTTACTTTTGGGGGTGTGTTGCACTTGTATCACTTGCCTCAATAGCATGGTAATGTCCACTAAATGTACTACCAACATTTTCCACATGGTTGATTATAGATATCCAACACTTCTAACACATGACAAATTGTCCACTTAAAATGTGAAATATGAATCATAGAATATTTGTATGTACCCAAATTTTCATTTCAAAGTAAATTAAATATTTATCTCTACATTACAAAGTTTACAATGATGTAATTTAATAAACGATTATAAAAATTTTATCAAAATAAAATAAATTTATAATAAAATTAAAAAACTAATATATATATATATATGTTTTAATGAATTATTTGTAATCACACGTTGTGTTGTAACGATTTGGATGAATAATTTTTAATTATTTTAATTTTTCACGCAAAGAAAAGAAAAAAGAAAAAAGAAAATTCTGAAAAGGCATGCGTGTGTTATGAGTTTGACTCCCAAAACAGTGGGGTTGTCCTTGAGTCAAGAGGAGGACTCAGAACACACCACCACCCAAGTCAGTCAAGGCACACCACTCATGACCACAGACCAAAAAATTAAATAAGCATCTTCCTCCTGTCAAACTGTGACGCGCGTTTCACACATTCAATTCTCTCTCTCTATCTCTTTCTCTTTCTCTCTCTAAAAAGCTGCTTTCGAGATATTATATATATTTGCCGGCTGGGGGCCCTTCTCCACTAAATTGAATTTTACAGTCGGCAATAATATACTCCATTAACACACCGTACTTTTATATATTACTAACATACACTCCTATATACAAATTATATGTATATGTCTCGAATTCTTTG